CCCCCCCGGGGTCAGAACGGGGAGGGGACACCCCAAAATACCCCCTCCCACTGCCAGATCCGGGGGAACCCCAAAATCTCCCCCGCAGGGGTGAGAAGAGGGGGAACCCCAAAATTCCTTCTCAGGAGTCAGGCCTGGGGCATCAGACACCCCAAAATCCCCCCCGGGTCAGACCCGGGGGGTCACACACCCCAAAATCCCCCTCCAGATCAGACCCAGGGGGTCGCACACCCCAAAATCCCTCCCTCCAGGGTCAGACCTTGGGGGACAACCCTGAACCACCCCCAGGGTCAGACCTGGAGAGGGAACCCCAAAATTTCCCACCCCGAGTCGGAATGGGGGGTAACCCAACCCTCCCCCCGAGGTCGGCCCTGGGGGACCGACAGCCCCAAAGCCCCCCCGCAGCAGGCCCAGCCCTGGGGGGTCACCCCGAGCCCCCCCGGTTCTCACCCTGCCCTGCCGGGTCTCGCTCTGGCTCTGCCCGGGCGCGGCGAAGCGGCCGAGCTGCGGCACCCCCGGGTCCTTCTTCAGCCCCTTCACTCCCGCGGCCCGTCGGCCCTGGGGGTCACACGGGGGGGTCACACGGGGGGGGGGTCACACCGGGGGGGGGCACCCCCGGGGGCTGCACCCCCAAACCCGGGCTTGGGGGGTCCCGGGCCCTCGCGGTCCCGGCTCGGGGCTCACCTGGACGCGCTTTTTCCGCGCCGCCTCCACCTGTCGCCCTGCGGGGAGGAAGGGGGTGAGTTGAGGGGGTACCCTAAATCCCCCGGGACCCCCCCAGGGACCCCCCGGACTCACGGGAGCGGGTCATCGCTGCGGGCCCCTCACGCTGCCGGGGAGCCCTGGCGCTCGGTGATGACGTCACTGGTGGTGCGACGGCACGCACGTGGTGCTCCGTCACACTCAACATGGCGGACACGGCCCAATGCCACACCCAACATGGCCGCCACCATCATTACCCGTCCAACATGGCGGCAGCGGCCCGAGACACCCCGGTATTGCCACGCCCA